AAAGACATCTTTCACCTATCTTAAAAGAAACTGATAAAGAAGGAAGATATCTATTTGTGGAAATAAATTTAAATGGAAAAAAGTGCTTAATAATAGGGGTTTATGCACCCAATCAACTTGCAGCTCAAAAACAATTTTATAGACAATTACATCAGAAAATTGTGGCGTTGGACTATAACTCTTTGATTGTTATGGGAGATTGGAATGGGGTTCTGGATACGTTAAAAGATAAAAAAACAACTTCCAAGGATGTAACCCTTTCCAGATTACCTAAGTCCTTTTTTGATATGAAAGATGACTTAGAATTGATGGACGTTTGGAGATCACAACATATTAATGAACGTGACTTTACTTTTTTTTCTCATAGACATGACTCCTTTTCAAGGATTGATTTTGTTCTGATATCGACTGACTTACTTATTGACTGTAACAAAACTAAAATTTTCCCTAGAACTTTGACGGATCATAGTATGGTATGGATAGAGATTGGTCAAAAAATAAAGAGGAAATCTTGGAGAATAAATAAAAATTTGTTTAATTATGAGGATAAAGTCAAGGCTTTGAAGGAATCTATGGAAGAGTTCTTTCAACTCAACATGAACAAGGAAACTTCTATAAACATTGTTTGGGATGCTGGCAAGGCTTACTTACGGGGAATATTAATTGCTATGAATAATGCATACAAACGTAAGCAAACACAGACCAGATTTAGTTTGGAAAAAGAAATTGGGATTAAGGAAAAATTATTATTGCAACAACCAACAGACACTAACCTAAAAAATTCTATTAAAATGCTTAAAAATCAATTTAACTTATTGATTGCCGATCAGGTGGCCACCAACTTGAAGTATATCAAACATAACATATTTGCTAATGCAAATAAACCGGGGAGATGGTTGGCCTACCAACTACGTAAGAGACAAAAAGCGAGGCTTATATCTAAAGTTTTGGTCAAAGATCGTGAAATTCACCAACAAGAAATGATTAAAAAGGCATTTACTGAATTTTATTCGCATTTATATTCTTCAGAGACTATAAACAGTAAAGATATTGATAAATATTTACAATCCTCACTTATATATAAACTTACACTGGAGCAGCAGAAAATTATGAATGAAGAGATTACTACAGATGAAATTTTAAAAGCAATTAAACAATTGAAAGCTGGTAAAGCCCCTGGAACGGATGGTTTAACAGCAACTTATTATAAGTCCTTGTCAGTTATATTGTTACAACCTTTAAAAATTTTATTCAATAAAATTATGTCGGGAGAACAAATACCTCAGTCTTGGACAAAAGCTTTTATATCTTTGATACCGAAGGATGACAAGGAAATTTTGGAACTTAAAGATTACAGACCTATCTCTTTGCTGAATGTGGATTACAAA